TAGAAACTACGAAACTATAATCCTAGTGGAGAGAAGACACTGGCAGCTTTCACCATGAAGTATCTAAGCTAGGTTAACTGCCACTTCACGTCACAGTAGAAGCTTACCTGTGCCTTGGTCCGCATAGATTATACAGCAGGAGAGCCAGTGCATCTTAGATAACACACCTTTCCTTTGTAGCAAAGACGTGGCTTTAGTTACTCCATGCCCTGTTTGTGTAGATGTGCTTAGAGGCAGGTGCGGTCTTTAAAATAAGACATTTTCTACTGAAGCAGAATGTCCAATGTCTGGATACTGCAGTGGTGGAGAGAACAGCTGGTGTGGATGCAGGTGCAGGGAGGAATTTGGTTTGTGCCCAGTAGGCTGTGCTTTTGTGCCTGGTACTGTTGTGGGGAGGTGGGGGGATTCTGGACTTTGCAGGCAACTGTTCTCGGATAGAAAACTGGCTTGATCTGCAGTTTATTATACTGGCAGAGGTTTCTCCTTACTGACAGAAACCTAGATCGTGGCTCACCTACACTGGTACAGGTTATTATACTTCCTGCATCTGCATTAAGGGGCTATGCTGCTTCAGTTTCATCATTAACGTTAAAATATGTAAGTATTACAGTTGCCTTTGCAGGAGTGTTCAGTGCTGGGGTTCTGGCAGCTCTGACTTAAGGAGCTGTAGCTTCCCTGCGTTCCAGCCTCAGCTTCAATGGGAGCAGTTCTTTCTCCAGTCCTAAAGATACATGGTGATGGTTTGCTGTTGGAACAGAATAAGTGCTTCTTGCTGTTCTTTGTAGTGCTCTGAGACCTCTTCAAGTATAAAGCCTGCTACGAAGGTCTATGAACAAGTCAAACCTCTGGGTAAGAACTGTGTGTGAGGAATTTTTTCCCCTCTCTACCCCTTCCCCCTGCCACCCTAAGCCCATTTCTCTTCTTTCTAGTCCCTCCTGCACCCGGATGTGATGCAGATACAGCTTATACTTACACCTGGGGTTTGTCCTGTGGTGTAAGACACCAGTCACCACACTAAATACTTCATGAGATGTCCCAAAGTGAGGACATTTTCTGTATTTAAGAATGTTAATTATTAACAAAGGCAGCACTGTTTCTCTGTCCCACTCTGTCTCATAGCTTCAAAAATGAGCCTTTAACAAAAGAAATATACATTCTGCAGAGCAGACATAGGGATGGATGGCCAAATCCTTCACATTCACGTACAGATGGGGTATCACTGAAGGCCAAACTGGTTCCCAAAATTCAGGGGTGCTTGAGCTTGGGGCCTGCCTTTGTGCTGGGAAGAAGAAGAAAAGAAATTCCAGGATTTGCTTCAATCCAAGAGTAGCTTTTCAGTGTCCATCTACAAGAAAAAAGGACTAAACACAGGCCGCCTTTCAGCATGTATCAGAAGGCAGTGAAACAAAGGCTTCTGCCATTGTCCCAGAATAGAATATTGTCTACCCTGCTTCACAACAATGCTCCATGTCATTGGCCCTGCTTTGGGAGGAAGAAGATTTGCCAAGTACACAGTTGCACATTACACACAGTTACACAATTGCCAACTAGAGGGATAGGCAGTTGATGGAGATAGATGATGAATTTTGCACACCTGACACTGTGCTTACAAAGGATGTAGTGAACTGAGAACAGAGTAAGCAGCCTCTTCAGACAAACCCTTCCCTCAGCAATGGGCTACCCTCAAAGCTTTCTAGAGAATGGGGTGGACTAAAATGCTGGTTGTACCGGAGTAGCCAGCTGTCCATCTGAACTGTGGAGTTCTAGCTAGCACTCAACTGCATTGCAAGTCAGGTCTCATAAACTGTCATTTACTAAACAAAAAAATAACGGACTACCTTCATGTCCAGAAAACAGTCCTGCTTGTCAGTGAAGAGTCCCGTTAATAACTTTTGGGCAGTTTCATGTATTCGGGATCTCTGTACCCACTGATTGGTGGGTTTAGTTGGCATTTGTGTAGCATGTACCTGTTTCTGAATTGACCTGGGTAGGAAGTAAGTTTCCTATTAATTGATATGTTAAGCAGGTATTCCACAAAACTGCTCTCTACCTTTCCTGACAGTAGGACATCTCCTGTATAGTGTTTCTCTAACACTGCAAGGTTTGATTTCCCTCCTCTTTTCCAACAGGGATCCTTCACTTTCTCAGGCAATAGTTTCATGCCACAGTAATATTTTCAGTGCTCGGGTACCGATGACTTGTTCTGCCCAGCACTGTCCATTCTCTGTTTCCACCTAGAAGGAAGGATGGTATTATGGCAAAAGCACTGCATTTCAGACTCTGCTGCACATCTGTACAACCAGTACCACTGGCCTCTTCTCCTTTGTTTCATCCATATAGTATGTGAGTTCTTCATGGGAGGTGTAGCTATAAACTGGGTGCGAGTGCCTGTCTGCTCACCTTTCTTTAACACAGTATGAAATGTCTTTGCCTTGGAATTGACTGTGATAAGCAGATGCATTTAAAAATACAACATGTCCTTGTTCATAACAAGGAGAAAAGCTAATACCTTGCTTAACATGGAGTCTCCTTTCTCCTATGGTAGGCTTACATTGCTGCATATTGGGATTTAGTACAAGGGAACCCTAATCTCAGTTTCTTGGCACTGTTGTATTACTCCTGAGTCACTGGCCCTGGAGCTGGCTCTGGATTGATGGTAGTCGGTCTGATTCTGACACTGGCCTCCCTGTAGTCTCTGTGAATGCGTCTTCCTCTGTAAAATCGCAACAAAGTCTTTTGTTGTTTGAGGTTGGTATAAAGGATGGGGCTGGGAGAAATGAGGGAACACTATTTTCTTGCCTGGAAGATGAGCAAGTGGCAGGTATCTGGAAAACAAACCATACCAAACTTCACAAAATGACTGCTTTGTGTGTCTGGTTGTAAAAACTTTGTCTATCCAGACATGTGTAATAACGATGTAAACAATGTCAGAACACAAGAGCAGCACAAATTATGTAGACAACTCTGTTTTATGCACAGTTGATCTCTCTATTAGCACAGCCTGAAAAGCTACCATTATTCCAAACAACAGTGTTCATTTTTTAAAATAACCATAATCATCCCAACGATTTGTGCATCTTGGACATGCCATTACATCTTTTCTTCTTTACCTGGGTATTTAAAGTATTTAATTTAAAGCACAATTTGCCTGAGCAATATTAGAAATGCTACATATGGGATGAACGGACATCTTTGGGAACCAGTAAACACCAGTAAATCCAGCCTGGCAGAGCTGGAGCTATTGCTGTCGGGTACCTTTTGGTATAAGACGTTTGATTCCCTTCCCTGGTATCTTTTCAGTGTCTGATGTTTGTCCTTGGCTACTCTCCCTGTTCAGTTTTGGCAGCATTTGGAGTCACAAGTCCCAACATCCCCACAGGCCTCCTTTCTAGGTCAGGCCAGACAATTACCTTGCAGCATGGGGGAAGCCTGCTCTGTGGCTGTCACTCCAGATCTATGAATAAATCTAAAGCCACAAGGACTATCAGTCAGCATCTTCTGTGAATGCTGCCATTGGATGGCCAAATCAGTCTGTATATGCTGGAATGAGTGTCCTAATGAAAGAGAAGTTGTGTTTTCTATTTTTCCTTCGTTCTTTCTTTTACTGTTTTGACTGGATGGATAATTTTTCAAAGCTGCTACTCCAGTGTCTTCTGCAAGTTTTCTAAACTGTTCCAGCTACAGATCTCCATCCTCAAACTTGTAGCAGCCTTTGAATCGTGAGCAGAGCACATTCACCCTGAACAGTCTTCTATGCACTACTATCCTGACCATTCAGTTGGTCCAATATATACAACATCCACAAAAACTTTTGCCTCTAGTATTTTGCATGTTCCCTGGAAATGCTACAACAACCTTTCGACACTATGAGCAACGGTCATTTGTATGCTTATTCTTCGCGTGTTGCTGAGCCTCTAATCTCCCTTTCTTTCTTGTAGTGTATAGTGGAACCAAATTGCCAATCAACAGGTATTGCATTGCAGATTTTGGTGAGCCATCTTCTGGGAGATTCAGGCAGTCCGTACCTGATTGGAATAGTAAGTTTTTTGTTTGTTTGGTGGGGGGAGCAGTGAAGGGTTGATATAATTTTTTTTTAACGCTGACCCAAACCCTTTTTAATATAAAATACCTAAAAATTTCTGAGGAACAGGCTTTCGCAAAACTTCAGCTGATGCCTGGGCCTAGATTGGAAATTGCAGTAGTGGCTTTTCTTGTAGTGTGGTATGAGATGCATACAGCCTTCACTTAAACCAGGTTTCTTTCTTGGTTAACTACATACGTGATTGTTAGCCCAAAATCTTGAAAATGCCTGGCCTGTAAACTTCTGTATCTCTGCATCTGAAGAGTTCTACTGAGTATATACTCATACATTTTCAGGTTTGGTGCCATACTTTAATTTCAGCTCTGCTGATCCATGCTGGGTTTTGGAGGCATCATATTTTAATGCAGCGGCTGTTGTTCCGTGTTTAAATGCGTTTCTTATGTTGGACACCTCCCTAGGAACTGCAAAATATCAATTTATTCTTCCAAAAGCAAAAAATATACTTAAATCTATGGGTGCCAGTTTGTTTTGTGAAATTTCCTCAGGAAAACTCAGATTCATGCTTTTTTTGTAATAATAGAAACAATTAAAATGGTTGAGGCTGGCATTCCAAGTGCTTCTCTCAAATGTTCCTCAGTTTTCAAAACGTTACACTTGTCACGCTACTATGTAAGTGCAGGGGTTTCTTTCTGATTTTTTTTTTTTTTTTAACTGAGGAGGAGGAGGGTTCAAGGAGTTGAGCAAGCTTCATATACATCCAAACCTCCCCCCCTCCCAAAAAACAAAACAAAACGGGAGGGTTTAGCTTGCTGAGTGACCCGCTAGGACTAGACAGCTGAAATTTGGCAAGGATAAACAATAAGGAAATTACCTTTTTAGTTTTCCTGAGAACTGGTTTTGATTGGAGACTTTGAAAACTGGGAGCCCGATCCCGGTACTTATTTGGGGTTTAGGGATAGTGAGATGTTCCAGACATACAGGTCACCAAAGGCCTCTGAAATGAAACACTGGTGTGTGGACAGACCTGGAAAGCCTTGGGCTGTGTCCCAGGGTAAAGGTATACACACCTGATCTGTGGATCTTTGGTACTTAAATCAGTAGCTTAAAAGATGCCCAACTAGTGCCAGCTGTAGTGGGGAGTTTTGTGATAGTGACCTTGACTGGGGCTATTGAATGTGGTAAGGGTGCTGCAAGCTGTCAATCTAGATATTTCTTCTGGTGTGCAGCTTCCGTAAAGTCTGTTCCCTGGGCCTCTGGCATCTGGTTAGATATGACATGCAAAATACTTTTCTGAGAATAATACCTTTTATGTGCAATTCTCTTAAGTTGTTTACCTGAAAAGCACCAAGAAAAAAGTGTAAGCCTTCTGTGTCTTAACTCAGGCTTGACTCAGGGAGCTGTTTGCATGATAATACATAATGAAGGACTTATTCCCCAGCAACCTTGCAACACTCCAAGGAACGGATTTAATAAGTATATGAATAAGGCTGTTGTGCTTCCAGTTGGGATTTTGTGCAAGGCTCAAGATGTTTAGATAACTTCCAAATCAGGATGCATTGCTTATATAACACCACCCCCCGTCAGCCCTTATGAAGTCTACTTGTCTCTGGTCTTGTTGGTCAAATAAAGAATTGTTTATATTCAGCTCTTGATGTTACATGCTTACTTGCTTGTCTTGCTTTTATAGTTTAAAAATAAGCACTGGAGAGCCGGTAAGTGGCCTCTTTCAAGAAGTCTATATTTTGTTGTTTGGGCTCCGGAGACTTCCTTACTGAGCATTTTCAAATTAAATGCATTAGAACTGCATGTCAGCTGTAGTGTTTGCTACAGCTCCCAAGTGCCTGTTTACTGTTAATCTTGCTCTGGTCTGGGTAAAGTGCTATAAAATAATCATATCATACTAGGGTGGCCTTAAATGGCTCCAGTTTGTGTTCTTCAAGTGAGTTAGCTTCTTGGAGTTATAAGGTCAAACATAGGAATAAAATGTACAGCCTCTTATATTCAGCTCTCACTCTTGCTCTGAGATTTTTTTTTTTAAGATGCCAAGGAGTAAGGTTAAATATGGAGTTTTATTGGGCACCTTGGGCACTTGTCTGTCTTCATAACTCCGTTTCATTCAGATTCATTGTGACTCCTACAGATGCTACCCCCACTTCATGCACAGGCTGCTGCTTGGACCCTTTTCCATGCCATTGCTGTGTCACTCCATTTAATGCTTCTGATTCTAAATCAAACTTGCTTCTCACCTTTACAATCTTTCCCTTTCCTCTTGAGCATTGCTTCCCACTTCATCTGCTCTATACCAATAGCAACCTTGATGGCCAGATTATTGAGGAGTTATCCATCCTTAGTCAAGGCCCGAGGTATGAAAGTGTTACGATAAAAGAAGTGATTCAGACCTTCATGAAACTTGAAACAGCCTAAGCTGGTTCTCTGTAGATGGAATAAGAACACAAAAATGAGTTCAAGGTTTTTCCACTGGTACTTTCCTATGTCTGAAACAGGGAAAAGACTGGGAACTGCAGTGAGAAGCTGTAGTTGCCATCTTTTTCTGTCTTTTGTAACTGGAACTGCTGGACGTAAGCAAACTTAGGTTCATAAGACGTCAAGGACAAAGGGATGTCAAGTTACAGTGTAGGTCTAGGTATGCAGGGCACCGGATTTAGCACATACAGGCATCAAATCATGCTTTCTTATCTGCTCCTTTTCTTGTTAGTGCTAGTTCTGAGACATGCACACTTCAAAGAATGAGGAACACAAACCTTTGGTTCCAGGTAAATGACATTATGTTCCTTCCCTAGATCTCTGATGCCATCCAGAACAATCATGTTGACTCGTACTTATGGCAGTTTCGGAGCCTGCAGTACAGCTTCATCACATGTTCCTTCGTTGGAGTCCTTGGGGGAAGCTTTTTCCTTTTGACGACCCTTTACTTTGATGGAGATCGGAAGGAAGTTTTCCAGCTTTACAGAGGTTCCTGTATGCATCTGATTTCTCTTAAAGCCTGTCCAGCAGTCCTTTTCCTGATACCCAAACTAAGATCGGTGCTCAAAGCTGCAGTGTAAGCCAGACTACTCCATTCCACCAGGCCCCACAGCAAAAAGTGATCAGAACAGACGGCTAGAGTGTTAAGAATCTTATGTCTGAAGTTAAAAATAATTTCCATTATTGGCAGTTTCTCAAGTATGGTCTGCAATAATCTGCACTAAGCAGCAGTAATAAGGTAGCTTGTTTGTAAGTGCTGCACACCAAATAATCTTAGGGCCTTTTTTTTTCCTCTGGTCAAGACACCCTATGAGAAGGGCTGTTCCTGGGTTGTACAACATTTCCCTTCTTTCCATAGGAGGGTGTGCATTGTAGGTGGACAGCTAGAGAACGGGACACATGTTCCTTCATCACAAATTCTCTTTTCATCACCTGCTGCTTTTCTGACTTCCACTCTGTTTTCCAGGCATTGAGAACGAAGTCTACGTTTCAAACGAAGAGGGCCTCGGGGATGAGTTTCCCAAGGAGTAAAGGAGCTTCTGTTTCCCCCCCACCCCCCTAGTGAAGGTGCAGTTGGAGGAAGAGGCCAAATCGCAATCCCTCCATATGGCAGCAAAACCTGAATACTAATTTTTATGACGCTTTCGACTGAGAGTCAAAAACTGCTATGGAATTGGCATATGGTGAACCTCCCCCCATCTGCGAAACTGGCATGAGTGATCTGAGGAGGTTGGTGGCTCTGAACGCCAGGAATATAGAGCTGTCACAGACATGACTATTATCCCAAATAAGACAGTACATTTTAAGGTGGAATGTCTAGTAGAGATGGGGCTGGGGTTCCTGTGAATTCTCAGCAGGATGATATTTGCTTAAAGGATGTGGAGAACACAGCCAAAGATGCCGTCTTCTCCAGCTCTTTTATTAATAACTATGGAAGTCAAGAGCTGGCTGACTAGTCAGTATCTGGTGCCAAGAGGAAAGAGACACGAGGTACCTCCATGAAATATATTCATGGCCTCTTTATAATATTGTGGGACTCTTGTGAAAAAACCATTATTCATGTATACCACCACTTAAATACAATGATACTTTCTGTTTTTAGCTTTGGCTACCATCTGGACCATCTCAGAGCTATTGTTCAGATACCTCTTCGTGGATATTGTCATGGATGATTGTCTTCCCATCAAAGGGCTGTGCTCACCTGCACTGTATTGTGATCAAAATGCAGATGTCCTCCGCAGCGTCCCAGAGCCTGAGATTTCTTCTTCACTGAATCTTAGCAAGTTCTGGCATTATCAGCCTTTCACGTAGTACTGCCCCTCCCGATGAACAGTATGAAACATCAAGCATAACAAAGCAGGGCCGAGTGTGAATAGCTGCTTGCTGTTGTAAACTGAGCACATACTGATGTGTGCATTTTGTTTTGTTTTAAATCTATTCTAGAAATTGATTTGAACTCGGAAGGCCAAACTTGGTTTATATGGTGCCATTGCCCCACTGACTTTGGCGTGGTAACAGTTGGAGCAGAACCCAATGTTCCCTAGCGTTATAAATATCTCAAATTTTTAAAATGTTCAAGTCAGTGAAAATGAACTTGGAGAGCTTTCATCATTAATCAAATAAATGTCACAATGCAGAACTATCCAGGATTCTCAAATACTGAGCAGTTTCCAGGTGGTGTAGGAATAGCAGATGTTCTTCCACTGACATTCTCTTTGGAAAGTACATTGCTGCGGATTAGAAGTATTGCAGTGATGGATTCTCAATACTAAGAAAAAGTTTTGGAATACTTACAAAACCTACACAAAGCCACACAGCAGCTTTTCCTGGCATTTTCTGAATGCCATGTGGATATCAATGCCCCGACTGAGATTCTTTCTTCATGCCTGGCTGAAGTGAAGTCTGTAATGGCTTCATTTTGCTATTTAGACTGAGGAAATTGCTTTGCTATGGCACTAGTTCCACCAGTTTTCCTAACGTCGTACAAGTTCAGTGCCTCTTTACGGGATGGATTCAGAAAGACTGCTGCTTTACTAGAGCCAGTCCCAGGCATTAAGGAGTTGGCCTTTCAGGAGCTTTAGGGTACTTCAGTAAAAGTGTAGTTGTGCAATGTGCTGTGTGGATACGCCAGGGGTGGGCAATTATTTCGGGCGGAGGGCCGCTTACTGAGTTTTGGCAAGCCACTGAGGGCTGCATGACAGGCAGCCAAGGGCAGATAAATATTCATTTTCTAAAATTTTTAGGGGCCCTGTGGACCGGATAGAATGGCCTTGCGGGCCGCATCCTGCCCACCCCTGGGATACACCCAGATGTCCTGGCAAGTTGCTGATGGGTGAAAGAGCTAATTGTTAGAGCTAATTTACAGATGATCATACAACAACGTCCTCACTAAACACAACCTTCAAGACCATGAACTTATGCTCAGTCTCAAGGGCTGACATTTTACTCAAGGCAACTTGATGATTTTTTTTGGAATGCCTTCTGTATTGGTGGTGACCCTGTTAATAAGTTAATCACTTTGCATGACTGTCAAACCACCACTAAATTAAGCCGTATTCTTAGGAGTCCTGTGGAGGCACACATTTGATATGAATGAGAGGCCAAATAGCTCCTCTGCAGAAGGCTTGAACTCCTTGGAAATGGACAAATGAACATTTCACTGCAGTTTTTCCAAAAGCTAGCTGGGGTTTTTGTCAGGTTAGAGAGAGGTTTTTAACTACACTTTTACTGGATCCACCCAGCTAAATGACCAGATAGTCTGAGCTATGCTCTGGCTTCTCTGGAGCTGGCATCCCCTTCTGTCTTGCTGCTCAAGCTGTTGATTCGGGGCTCTTGTATATGTGTGAAGCTGCTGTGGGATCTCCAAAACTGTGAAATGATTTCTGTGAGCTGTTTTCAGGCTTGGTACAAGGTTTAAAAAGTCTTTAACATCCGACGCACTTGAGATGTATTTGATCAGATCTTCAGTGTTTCTTCCCCTTGCCCTTCAGCTACCACATGCAATATTAAACCAAGTAAGTATTCCCTCTTAGATGGGGTACACAGAAGCAGTCTGACTCTTGAAAGAATTGGCTGCAGAATTTTTAGGTTGCAGTTAAATTAACAGCTGGCAGCAATACTTACAGTGAGGGGCTAGAGACACAGGTTGGCTCCGCAGAGGTGGAAGAAGTGGATTTCTCTCTGTGACCTCTAGAACAAGAGATTTGCAGGGAGGTGGTGTCATATTTGCCATCGTCTAGCATCCCTGCTGTTGGAATGGAGGGACACTTCTGTTCAGAGTAGGTTCATGCTAGGTTCATGTTGGCTAGAGAGGGAAAAACCCCTCTTGGAACAATTCCTGAAAGCACAGGATACAGAGGATGTAGCAGTTGATTTGCTTATTCTTAGTGCATGAAGTGAGACAAGGAAGAACACAACATTAAGTATGGTGGGAAAATGCTACAGACCAGACTAGGGACAGAAAGGATAGGTTCTCCCCTTCACTTCTTTACTCCAGCCTAGAAAGTTGCCTATCCTACTACTTTTTGGCCCAGTGCAGTAGTGACGCTGGATATGTATAGAGGAGCTTGATATTCAAAGCCTTTTTTGCTTTTTTCACATGCCTTTAAAACAGAGGAAGGCTCTTGCTGTAGCATTTGGACTTTGATTCAAACACCAAATTCCTGCAGTTCATATCTATGTGGTACTTGCTTAATGATCTCTCTGTACTTGAAATGAAAATGTATCAGGCATACTTAAGTCAGTGTGAATTTGATTCAGCTGTATCCAGTTGCCTAGAAGATGTTCTGTTCTTTCCACTCTTGTTCATTTATCATTGCTATCTCAGTTGTATTGTATTTTCTACAAAAGTAATATCCTATCTTAATCCTCCCCACTAAAATAAAAATAAAATGCACCATTCCAGTGAATGTAGTGTCATCCCACAAGGCTATAAAGACCCCAGCACATGTGGAGATGGTTGACTGTTGTCTCGGGTTTCCGTGCTGTTTGTGCATACAAAGGTTTTTAGTACTCCATCCAAAAGAACAAAAAATAAAACAAAGCAATCAAACAAACAAACAAGTCTCTCCCTCCCTCCCTTTCTCCAAAACATTACCTTCAGCTTGATGTCACAGGGGTGATGGAGTAGAAAACAGCAAGTCCGAATCTCTGAATCAGATTCGGCCAAATCAAATCGGGACAGTGGTTCAAATCACCAAATTGAATCACCATCCCCAAAATCGGCCGAATCCGAAGTGAATACTAGCCACTTCGCACAGGCTTAGTTGGCATTACAAACTATTGCTAATGGCAAACCTTTGTTGTCCAATGGATGGCCCTATGTGTCTTCTCCTGAAAAGCTTTACAATACCCAGTAGGAAATCTAACTACTCATGGCAGTGGTGCAATGGATGGAAATGGCAGTCTGCTGCTCTTATAGGTAGGGATGTACCAAATACATGATTTCACAGATTTCATGGAAATCGTGTAATTGGCAGTCTCCCATGAAATAGCTGGTTTCCCATGAAAAAGTGCAGGGAGCCGGCTGTGTTCAAAGAGCCAGCAAAGAGCCAGCAAAAGCCTAGAAGGGCAGGGGGAGGGAGAAGGAAGCAAAGAGAAAAAAAATCAGAGGCAGACCGCCTGCCTCCTGAAGCCGAGGCATGGGAGGGGAG